ACAACAATAACAAAAAAAAAACAACAAATCGGAGACTCACTGTGTAGCCCAGACTGGCCTCAAATGCTTTCTGCTTCAGCTTCCCAAGTACTAGGGTTACAGATGTGTGTCACCACACCCAACTATATTTCTTTGTTTGTTGCTTGTGTTTTTAGTGTCATATTTAAGAAGCTATTGCCAAATGGAATGACATCAAGATTTACTCCCATATTCTTTCGAGACATAATTTGATTTTGTACCACAATCATTATACATTGACAAAAGAAGCTGTGCCAGTGCATAAATATTGCCTTCATTTGTTCTGTGTATTTTTTATTCAAAACGCAAGAAGAAAGCTAAAACCCTAGTATTCTTAAAAGAAGTAACATATATATCTATTTTTTTGTTATTGTTTCAGTATACAACTGAAGATTTGCTTGAACAAATTCAGGCAAGCCAGGAAGAAATAATGACCCAATTAGAAGTTCTAAATGCCTGTGTGATTGGAGGTAGTATTGCTTAATTATTACCATTCGTAGTGGTGGAATTGTGTATTATAGGAGAGAAGCTTTGGGGTATCAACTATGATGCATGCTTGTTTGAGCTTCACTTAGGTTCAAAGATAGTGATTTTAAGGTCTGAAGATGTAGCTAAGTAGAAGAGGGCTTGTTGAGCATGTGTAAGGCCCTGTGTTTGAACTCCTGCAACACACACACACACACACACACACACACACACACACACAGATGATGTTTGCCTTTTGGGGGTATGGAATAGAGACTGTGAGATCATCTTTACATGTAGAGGTCAGACCAGTGACTTGAGCCACTCACCAAAGGCCTTTCTCTTTAAAAAGTCTTTAGATATCAAGTAGTCTAATCCTTTCATTTAAGAGCAGTTTTTATTTTGAGATAGGGTATCACTATGTAGCTCTGTCTGGCCTGGAACTTGAAGTACATAAACTAGGCTAGCCTCAAACTCACACAGATCAACCTGCCTCTCAGGTGCTGATGTGTGCCTCTAGGGTGCCTCTCAGGTGTCATGGTGTATGACACCATGACTGGCTAAAAGCAGTTTTTTAGCAGGTAAGGAAGTTAAGGTCTAGCAAGGCATGTTAGGTAGTTTTCTGTTGCTGTGATGAAACATAAGGACCAAGGAAGCTTATAGAAGGAAGAGTTTATTTGGCTTATGGTTCCAGAGGGATAGGAGTCCATCATGGTCAGGCAGAGGAAGCTGGAGCAGAAGCTGAGAGCTCACATCTTCAAGCAGGCACAGGAAGCAGTGAGAGCAACTCAAATGGGACGGGACTTGGCGATGAACTCCCAAAACCTGACCCCAATGACATGCTTCCTCCAGCATGGTCACACCTCCTAACAGTTCCATGAGCCTCCCCAAACAGTGCCACCAACTGAGGGCCAAGTATTGAAGTACTTTGGGCCTATGGAGGACATGAGAATTCACACCACCACACAAAGGGAGGTAACTCATCCAGGGCCTAACCACCAGAATTAACCCAATCAAAAAAAAAATCTCTCTGGGCTGGAGAGATAGCTCAGCCTGGGTTAAGAGCACCTGCTGCTCTTTCAGAGGACCCAGGTTTGGTTCCCACATGGTGGCTAGCAACCATCCTTAACTCCAGTTCCAGGGGATCTGATGCCTTCTTCCGACCTCTGCTGGCATTGACCACATGGTTACACGTGTGCAAAACATTCATAGACATAACAAAAATAAATAAATCCTTTTTTGAAAAAAAAGATCTCCCAGAGGCATACCCCCATGCCAACCTGGCCTAGACAGTCTGTCATTGAGCCTCTTGCGAGGTGACTCTAGACTGTGTTGGCAATTGAAATTAACATCACTGTGCATTTTTTTTTCTTTTTGACATGGGAGGTTACTGCTTTATCAATCTATTATTATCTAATTGGTTCGCTTAAAATGCTCTTTGATAAATTTGACATTTGGAATTCGTAGGTTATTGGAGGATTCTTGACTTTGATTATGAGATGAAACTTCTGAATCATGTAACCCAGCTTGTAGATTCTGAATCTTGGTCTTTTAATAAAGTTCCACTGAATATATGCCTGCAGGAACTTGGACCTTTGGAGCCAGAGTAAGTGTTTTAATTACTTGTCTCTCCAGATTTAAGGGAATAAAAATTTGTTTTCAGACTAGAATTAAACCCAGAGTATAGCAGTTTCCCAGAATATTGATACTAGTTCCTAATTTAAGTAAAGTATTATTTATCATCCAGGTAATTTAGTATTTCAAATTTTTAATTTATATCTGGGTTTGTAGCCACTTGGTTTTAAATGTATATAAAGTATTGACAAAGTTTTCATGAGTGTTTTAACTTTTTCAGGGAAATGATAGAACACTGTCTTAAATGTTATGGAAAGAAATATGTAGATGAAGGTAAGTTTTGGAAAGTATTCTAATGGGTATTTTAACTATTATGTGCTGTTTTATATACCTTTATTTAAAGTGTCATATTAAAATTAAGAACCGTGGGACTGTGAGAGGTAAGATTCCTTGAAGAAATTCCTTTGAGATAAACAGAGATTTAGCATGTATTATGAGCCCGTGTCACACTGTTTCCTCAGGGGAAATTTATTTTGAATTGAATGAGGACAAAATATGCAGAGCAACAGCACAGATGCTCCTTCAGAATGCAGTGAAGTTTAATCTTGCCGAGTTTCAGGAAGTGTGGCAGCAGAGTGTTCCTGAGGGAATGACAACTCGGCTTGATCAGCTCAAGGTAAGACCAGTGGGGCCTGCAGCTGGGATTCACCAGGTGATGACTGACCAGGTGAGATGATCCCTGTGCTAGAGCTGAATTTGGAGCCAATTTGTTTTTCTGGACAGCCATTAGGAATACAGTGTTCATTTGCTCTCTCACAAAGTGCTTTAACTACCAGCAGCTATGGAAATAGACTTTACATATTATAGCATCACTTGCTTTTTTGAAGCAAAGTTGGCGTTTATTCTTTTTATACTATGTTTTTTAAAGACAGGGCTTCGTGTATTCCAGGCTAGCCTTGAATCTCATATTGAATCCTCTGTGTAGACAGGATAGTCTTGAACTTCTGATCTTCCTGCCTCTATCTCCTAAGTGCTAGGATCTTGAGTATGGGATATCACTCCTGGTTTTAGGCAGTGCTGGGAATGGAACCCTGGGCTTTGTGCATGATAAATAAACACTCTACCAAAAGTTGGAGTTTATTAAGAAAAAATATTAATTTAGGTTTATGCATAGGTGGTAAGGGCAGGAGGGAGAGGGAAAAAGACAGGGGCTTAAGGAAAGGGCAGTCATTGTAGCTCAGCTGGTAGACAGCTTGCCTGGCACGCAGAGCTCTGGGGTTAATCCCCAGCACCTCATAAAACCAAGCATAGTGGTGTATACCTGTAACCTCAGCATTCTGGATAGAAACAAGAAGATCATAAGTTCAAAATCATCCTTGGCTACAGAATGAGTTAGAGGCCATCCTGGCCTACATGAAGACCCCGTCTCAGAAAAGGAAAAACAGACAAACCCTCAAAGAATACTATTCAAAGAAGTAATAATGGGGAATGAATAAAGAAAGCTTGAGGCTTTAGCTTGTGTACAATTCCTGGCCACTTAGGTAAGGGGTTTGAATAACAGAATGGAAGACGCTGCCTGGGTTTCCTGTTTTCCCAAGATAATGGGAATAGAACAGGTGTTCATCTATAGCTTTGGATGTGGAAGCCTGGGGCTCAGAAGAGGGAATGTGAGTGGAGGATGCAAATGCTCCAGTCATGAACAAGGGCACAGGAGGCCATGGGGTAGGATGAGGTTATCCATGATAGGGATGGAGAAACAGGTAGGAGGATCAGAACGGGGGTCTGAAAAAGGCAGAGAATGGGACTAGAATGATGACCCAGTGGTTAAGAGCACTGACTGCTCTTGCACAAGACCCATATTCAATTCCCAGCACCCACATGGCAGCTAACAAGCATCTGTAACTCCAGTTCCAGGGGAATCTGACCTCCAAGAGTATTGCATGACCTGAGTGTACTTCCATACATGCAGGCAATACACTCGTACACAAAAATTAAATATATGTGTGTGTGTGTGTATATATATATGTATATTTTTTTTTTTTAAAACTCAGACTCTCATGGAACAGAGGACCAAGAACACAAAAGGTCACAAATGGCCAAAGCATAGAGAATAAGAGTTTGCAGAGTGCAGGACCTTGGACAGGACTCTCATATTAAATTCTACCCAAGTGGGCTGAGGACCATTGGGAAAGACGGGGCAGAAAGATTGTAAGAGCCAGGGAGAGGGTGCACAACCATGTGGAAAAAGAGTCCTATAAGCTCCTGGGACCTTGCTCATATAGCCCTACAGCAATGATGTTGGCATGCACAAGACCCATGTGAACTCAAGCAGACAAAGCCCCAGTGTAGAGCTGTGGAAATGGAAAACAAGCCCCAATCTTAGTCAAAGAATTATTGGTAGCTGCTTACTGCCGAGTGAGAAAGAGCTGATTTTCTTAAAGGGAGGAACTCTAGACAGACTGCCTAGACCCCAGTGGATGAACTTGCACTGAAGGACATCTGGGGACACTAACTTGACATATAGGCCTTAACACAAATGACAGAATGTATGAATTTCACTGGGGTAGGGGACTGTGGGAGGAGTGCCAGTGTGGAAGGGGGTATAAAGATGATTATGATATTCTGTATAAAATACAAAATAATTCAATAAAAATTTACATAAAAAGAAAGTTACTAGAATATTTTTGGTAACAGTTCACCATGTGCATTGTCTAATTCAATTGCAAATGCATTCAAGAAACAATGGCTCTGAGCAGTTAGGGAAAATTTTTTAAAAGGCAGAAAATAAGACAGTGATAGTAAAGATGGAGATAGAGATAAAGAGGAAAGAGTAATGGACATCAACAAGAAAGTGGGGCTGATGAGGTGAAGCCAAGAATGGGGCCTCCGAATCTGGCCATGATTGGCCTGAGGTGAGTGTTAAGACTAAAGCTATTTAGGTAAACTGGTGGCAGTGGCAGCCAGATTGCAGAGGGCAATCTTTATGAAAAAAGTACTCTTTATGGAAAAGGTTATCTGTCAGTCTCTGGGTAGATTTTCTGTAAAGTGTCACAGAGCTGATGTTTTATCTATCTATCTATCTATCTATCTATCTATCTATCTATCTATCTATCTAATCTATATATGTAGTCTTTTTTTGAGACAGAGTCTCCTTGTAGCCCCAGCTGGCCTAGAACTCTCTATGTAGACCAGACTGGCCTTGAACTCACAGAGATCTGCCTGTCTCTGCCTCCCAAGTGCTCTGATCAAAGGTGTATGCCACCACGCCCAGAAGCTGATGTTTTATTTATTTTTACTTTTATATTTTGTTTTTTGAGACAGAGTGTCTTTGTAGCTCTAGCTGGCCTGCAATTAGCTATGTAGACCAGGCTGGCCTCGGTCTCACAAAGGTCTACCTGCCTCTGCCCACCAAGTGCTGGGACTAAAGGCGTGGACCACCACACCTGGCATACCTGATGTTTTAAATTCTTTGTACTAAGCTAAATCTAATAACAAAAGAAATAAGTCATTTTAAATATTAGATCATGACTTTAAATGCCTATTTTTCTTCTCATCTCTTTCAGGGTTTAGCGCTGGTGGATAGAAACTCAAGACCAGAAATCATATTTTTGCTGAAAGTAGATGACTTACCTGAGGGAAATCAAGAGCGTTTCAATAGTCTGTTCTCCCTAAGGGAGAGGTGGACAGAAGAAGATATTGCTCCATATATCCAGTAAGCAATGCATTAAAAATGAACTGTAGGGGTTGGGGATTTAGCTCATTGGTAGAGTGCTTGCCTAGCAAGTGCAAGTCCCTGGGTTCGGTCCTCAGCTCCAAAAAAAAAAAAAAAAAAAAAAAGACAAAATGAGCCGTGAGGGTAGTTATTTAAAAAGTGGCATAGGGTTTTAGATTTATGACCAGAACATAATATTATTGCATAGTCCCTGAGTATACTGCTTCCCTGAACTTTCACTCTGGTCTACTTTATCACAATCTGGGATAAGTTGCCTAGAGGTGGAGTATGTGTTATCTTTTTCCCTTAACACTCTTTTTAGAACCAAATCACTGAATTCCCTCCTACAAAAACCATAGGTCTTTGAAGGACAGAATATATACCCTATCATGACTCAAAGGGAAAACCTCCCTCTGATTGCCAACTCCTGTCCTGTTGGCAACTCCTGTTGCCTTTAGGCTGTTAAGGTTTTGTTTTCTTTGGGGTTAGTCTTTTTTTTTTTTTTTAACTTGTTTATTTATCCATGTATGTGTTTATTTAATCTTTATGTGTATGTGTGTACGTGTGCATGCACATTCATGTGTGGGAATGCAGGTATGCACATGCCACAGTACGTTTGGAGGTCGGAGGACAACCTTGAGTAGTGGTCCTCACCTTCTACCTTGTTTGAGACACGTTCTTTTTTGTGTTGCCTCTGCCAGGCTAGCTGGACCAAGAGCTTTTGGGGGTTCCCCTATCTCCACCTCCATCTTCTTATGGGAATGTGGGGGTTACAGACCCCTGCCACAGCATCTAGCTTTATATGGGTTCTGGGGATTCAAGGTCAGGTCTGTATGCTTGTGAGCTATCTCCCAGTGTTGATTTGTTTTGGTGTTTTGTTTTGTTTTGTTTTGTTTTGCTTGAGGCAGGGTTTTGTGTGTAGTCCAGGCTGGCCTCAAGCTTTCTATGTAGCTGAGGATGGCCTTGAACACCTGATTCTCCTGTTTTTACCTCTAAATGCAGCCATTATAGGCATGAGCAGCTTGTTTTCTGCTGCCTTAATTTAGTATAATTTTACTATTTTATTTTAGTCTTTGAGATAAGGTCTCATCTAATAGCCCAGGTTGGCCCTGAACTCATTATGTAGCCTAGACTGGTCTCAAATTCATGTTCCTTCTGCCTCAGTCTCCCAATGCTGGGATTATAGGTAGGAACCAGTATACCTGACTCTGGATTATTGTTTAACACCATGGAAGAGGCCAAATTCCAGAACAAGTTAGCCTAGCCTAAAAGTCTCGTCTGCCAAAACTTGAAACCGTTAGTACCACAGCTATATCATTGTGTGTTATACCTTGAAGGCCATCTTCCCTCTACCCAGTTTTGTTTCTGTGACCCATCACTCTAGCTTCTATCATGTACGTGTTCCTCCTTGGCCCTCTTTCCTCCTTAATTAAATACAACTTTCTGCTTATTCTGTAATACATATCAGCTGCTGAAATTTCTGGAGAAAAATTTGCAAAAGGATCACCAGACTTGCTTAAGAATATAGATTGGAGGCAGGTGGTCTCTGTGAGATCAAGGCTAGCCTGGTCTACATAGTGAGTTCCAGGCCAGCTGTCAAAAAAAAGAACATAGATGCTGGGCATGGTGGCACACACCTCCAATTCCACCACTGAGGAGGCAGAGGTAGGTGGATCTTGTGAGTTCAAGGCCAGCCTGGTCTACATAGTGAGTGCCAGGCCGGCTGGGGCTACAAGGAGACCCTATCTCAGAAAGACCAAAAAAAAAAAAAGAGTTTAGCACAGGTCCTGGCCAATCACCATTTTCTCTTGAAGCTCTCCTTCCCTTGTACTTACGTTACATCTTTAGATGCCCCATGTCCTATTTACTCCCAGCTTATGATCTCATTTCTTGAGAAGAATTCTAATAAGAACCACTTCCTTTCCTATCGCCAAACCTTCTCCCCGTCATGCCAGCACTCCTTCCTTTGTAGTTCCCCCAATACAGTGCATAAGCCCCTTGCCCTTTTTTCTTAAGATTTCTTTGTATTTGTGTGTATTTATGTGTATACATGTCTATGTATGTACATGTGTGTGCTAGTACAGGTGCATGTGGGCACAGAGGCCAGAAGAGGGTGTTAAGTATCTTCCTTCATCACTCTCCACCTGTTTCTCTGAGGCAGTGGGGTCTCCTCCTGAACCTGGGGCTTGCATCAGTTAGGCTGGAAGCTAGCAAGCCCCAGCTGCCCCACTTTGGAGTTGGGGTTTGTGAGGAACACACAACTTGTTATGGTGGGCACTGGGATCCAAGCTCTAGTTCTCATTGTGGAGCAAGGGCTAAACACGGAACCATTTCTGTGGCCCCATTTTCCCTCCCTCTGCACTACATCCAACTCCTCCGGCCTTCTTTAAGACTTGATTTCCTGAGTTGTCCTGTTCCCCCTCACTGCTGTTATTAATGTCTACTTCACCTACTGGATCGTCCCCACAAGCACATGCCATTCTGGAGTGTCACTCATACTGCAAAACAGCATCAATATGTAGTCCCCCTGTTCTTTGCTTGCCTTCATAAGGAAACACCTTGTACATGTTTCTGTGTACACAAAAAGCACAGGGTACCAAAGAGCCGCTGGGCCTTCTTTGCCGCCCATTCTTTTTGTTTAACCCAGAGATTTCTCCTTATTCCAATGACCTCCATCTTTGCATACTCAACAGTCAGCTATCTGCTGTTGTCTACTTGACCTTTGGTGTCATTCCCAGAGCTGGAGAGATGGCTCAGCGGTTAAGACCACTGACTGCTCTTGGAGAGGAGTTCAATTCCCGGCACCCACATGGCAGCTACAAATCGTACTTAACTCCAGTTCCAGGAGAATCCGAAGCCCTCTTCTGACCTCCACAGCATTGTATGACATGGGTTCACTCCCATACATGCAGGCAATACACTCATACACACAAAATAAAAATAATACATAAAATATTTTTTAAAAAATGAATTCATTCCCTTTAAACATTTGTTTTTCCCCTTCTACTGGGGATTGAACATACATAACAGGAGTTATATCTTTAGCCCTATTTATTTACTATTTATTTATTTATTTATTTATTTATTTATTTATTTATTTATTTATTTATTTTGAGGCTTGTATACCATGGCACAAATGTGGAGGTCAGAGGACAACTTTCAAGTGTTAGTTCTCTTCTTTCAACATGTGGGTCTCAGAGATTGAACTCAGGTGGTCAGATGGTGGCAAGTCCCTTAACCTGCTGAGACATCTCATTGGCCCTTCAGCTTTTTTTTTAACCTTTTATTTTGAGACATGTTCTCATTTAGTTGCTTGGGTAGCCTTGAACTCCCTTTATAGTACAGGGAGGACTTGAATTTTGTGATTCTCATTCCTCAAACCTCCAGGAAGCTGAGAGTACAGGATTAAAGCCCAGGCTGGCTCTTTGGCACTCTCATCCAAGCCTGCATTTAAATGTTGTGATTTTCAAATTTTCTCTTCATAGCTGACCTTTTCCGTGACCTACAGATTGTTAAACGCTGGAGAGTTACAATATAATGTAATGAACCCTCCCTGTACCCATGGCCCAACTTCTATAATTAAGTTATTGCCTTCATTATTTAAAATTTAAATTGGGTTATGCTTTTTCTATTGTTTCTATCCTCTTAGTCACTTCCCACTGTATTTACAATTGAATCACAAGCCCTTTCCATGTGCCCTTTGGCCCTTTGTGATCTACCCCTTGCTTTTTTCATCTCCTTCCCCTCAACTTATGTTTCAGTCAGTCTTCTTTTTGAAGTACAAAAGAAGGTAAAGTGCATGAAGGGTAGGCAGTCAAGGCAAGTAAGTCTAGGATATAGGTTCTATAGACTCTAGACCCCACCATATCACATTGCTACATTGCCTTTATTTCTAACTTAAAGGTTATATGATACTATGGAAATAACATGCATCTTGAAGGTATGGGCATCTAGTGGCAAAAGTTGACTCGTTTACTACTTGAGTCTGTTTCATCATATGTAATATAGGCTTAAATAATTTATTAGTCTTATTCTTGTGAGTGTTAAATGAGATGATACACGTAATAATCCTCATTCAGTTAGAATTTAGAACCAGGCCCCATTGTTATTCTCACAAGCATATATCTTTATGTCCATTAGAAAGATGGATTTAGGGGGAGAGATAAAGTAACTAGTACTGTATATTATATCGTGTTTCCTAAAATATTCATAATATTTATTTTTAATCCCACAGAGATTTATGTGGAGAGAAGCAAACCATAGGTGCATTACTTACTAAATATTCTCGTTCTTCAATGCAAAATGGTGTTAAAGTTTATAATTCGAGAAGACTCATTTCTTAAAGGAACAACAGACTTTGGGATTAAGTTGCTTTATGAAGTTGCTGGATATAATAAAAAAGGGTTCTCTTTATTTCTATTCTTGACTTAAAAAATAAACTCTGTGTGTGTGTGTGTGCACGCACGTGTACATAGTGTAAATGCCACAGCATACGTATAGAGGACATTTTGTGGAGTAATTTTTCTCCTTCTACCTTTACCTGGGTTCCAGGGATTGAACTCAGGTTGCCAGGTTTGCACAGCAAGAGCCTTTGCCTGCTGAGCCGTCTTGCTGGAACCTATTTTGACTCTTAAACCAACTCCTTGGATGCCTTTTTCTCTTCTTCAGCATTTTGAAACTAACATCCTTTTTTATGATTTTTTTTTTTTTTAAAGTCTTTTAGAGACAGGTCTCCCTGTAGCCCCAGCTATCCTGGAACTCACTATGTAGACCAGCTGACTTTGAACTCACAAAGATAAGCCTGCCTTTGTCTCCTGAGTGCTGGGATTAAAGGCGTTGCACTACCATGCCCAGCCTTTCATTTCTTAAATGTAATAAAATATTTACATATTCTTAAGGTTACATTTATATACATACACTGTATACAGGAAAAAAATACTTTCTATATTTAGTACCTTTTGAGGTCTATGATCTATTTATAGAGCATTTTGCTTTTCATATATGTTTTCTAAGAACTAAATAGTCTCCTAGAAGAAATTTATTCTGTTAAAGGCCATTTCTAAACTAAGTACAAACCGTTATATTAGTTGTTTAGGTTGATAAAACCTTATAATTAATTGCCTGTTTCCTTGGCTATACATTTTAAACTAAATGTGTTTAAGCCCTAATCCAATTTGAAGAATACGAATAGTTTCTAATCCTGACACAGGTAAAACTCACTAGAAAACTACTGATTCCTAGTTGGTTTTGGATTGTTTCATAAAGTTTTTTTATGGCTTTATTTTCCTAATTTGTTTTGGTGTAGACCAAAGTTCAGATTAATTTCAAATCAGTTAATGAACTGTTATCAGGGCAACCGGAAAAAGTAAACATAGTTGAATCTGAAAGTCAAAAACGTTAATGGATATAGTCCAAGATTACAAGAATTAGCTATTAAGTTTGCCATTTTTACTCTTATGCACAAAAATGCAATTATGACGATTTCATGTTCTCTAATAAACTTTCCTGCATTTATACAGATGTAATTTGATACAGAAGAAGATAGATGGATTAGATGGTAGATTAGATACATAGATGATAGATTAGATAGATGATCGATAGATGATTGATGATAGATGGATGGATAGATGGATGGATGGATAGATAGACAGAGATAGATAGATAAAAGATAAATACCGATAGATAGATAGATAGATAGATAGATAGATAGATAGATAGATAGATAGATAGATAGATAAAAGATAAATACCGAGGCTTAGTGCCCTCCTGGGAACGCTGGGGCTTTGAGAGATCCTCCTGGCTGATCACAAATTTTGCAGTTTAGATCACAGGATCCACGTGGATGAGTTTATGGCGTCCACACCAATATGTGCATGGTTCTCCTCACATTTCCTGTCTCCCTCCCTCTCGCCCATCCATCCTCTGCACGGTAAACACTTTCTTTGCCCTCTAAATTTTAATAAGAATCTAGGTGTAGAGAAAAAAGAAGGAAGAAAAAGGAACACTGCAACTTTAGCGCGCAAGCCCCGCCCACGGCCTCCCTTAACCAACTTCCGGGTTCTGGAAGGGGCGGGGCGTTGCGGCCCCTCGTGCCTTCTCACTTCCGCTGACGCCGGGGTCAGAGGTGACGGGCAAGATGGCGGCCGGCGTAGGTTTTGGGCGCTTGCAGAGCTGCGCTTCATCGTGACAGGAGTCGGGTGGAGGCGGCCGTGAGGAGTCGGGGATCCCGCGAAGCCGAAGCGGCTGGCCAGGGAGCGCAGGGCCGTCGGAACGCGCCGCAGCTCCGGGGCAGCCGGGAAGGCGAGCCCCGCAGGAACGCTTCATGCCGCCCACCGGCCTGGAGCCATCCAAGATGAACCGGAAGAAAGGGGACAAGGGCTTCGAAAGCCCGAGGCCGTATAAATTATAAGTATTTGTTTCCGTTAATTCACTTCATGACTTGGCAGACCTGGGAAACCTAGTAGGAAATTAGGATCAGACCGTGATGGAAATGGTGTGTGTACTGTGAAAAGTTTTATGTATGACAGTTGTTGAGAATGTTTAGTTCCCCCCGCAGGGTAATGAGCCTTAAAGTATTGTTATATTGTCACGTTAAATCGTTTAACAGTTTTTGTTAGACTTAATATTACTCATTTTATAATATTTTAAAGTGAAAGATTGCTATGTGGTTTTGGGCTGCTTAGAAGAGTTGAATAGAGTTATGCCTTCATTTATTTTTATTTTTATTTTTTTTCATATACAACCCATCAGGTCGTTTGCATCAACAACATAAACTTCCAGAGAAAATCTGTTGTGGTAAGATCACTTTCAGTAATAATAAAGTTTAAGTCTGCCTTTAACAGTTCTTAGAGACTTTGTAATCTTCTGGATAGTGGGGTTTCAGGACTAAGTAGAAATTAGGATTCAAGTCTGTTTAATTTTGAGATTCTTTTGTTAGTATGTCTCAATTCTCTTTTTTTGTTTTATCTGGTTCTTTTTTTAATATCTATTTAAAGTTAAAATTTTAATATGGTTAATATGTTGTGGAATGGGAAGCCATTATAATCAAGCACCTTGGAATTCTGCATTAACTAAGAATAAGCCTGTAGTGAGATTTGTCCTTGAAAAATTTAAGTTGTTCACACATGGACTTGACTTCTAAGACGCCTGTTTTGCTTTCTGATTCTTAACTGGTAGGGTTTAGATAGTATTACTTTGTGGTGGCATTTTGGATAGGTTATTTGAGCTTGTCATTTAGATGTATGATTAACTGACAAAATTTATTTTAGGGAAAAATCATTGAAAACAAGTACTTTAATAAGAACCTACGTTAAGTCTTTGAGTTGCTTTTCCTTGACTGATGATACCAACTGCCTCATTAGACTTGTACCTGTGTTTACTGAGGATTAGCTATAAAGATAGAAAGATGTAACTTTTTCATAGCGTAGTATTTGAGATTTTTAAGATCCTCAAAGATCAGTTGAATTCAGTCTGCTCATTTATGGAATTTCTCTTGCAGTATTTTTCACAGATTGCTATTTATCTTGAGTCTTAGAAATAGACCTAGGTATATTATGTATGAATTATGTAGAGAAGAAAAGAGAATCAGGGAATGTATTTAAGAGGTTACTACAGCAGTCTAGGGAGAAATGCAGTAACCCTCAGTGAAGGTAGCTTTATGAAAATGGAGTCAACATGATTGATTGAATTACCTGAATCCTTAATGTTTATGACATTCTTTAAGGTGTTTATATATTAACTCATAGAGCCTTCACTGTAACTTATGAGGTAGGTGAGATTTCAATCCTAATTTGTAAATGAAGTAGCTGACACAGTAGAGGTTAAGTAACTTTCCTAAGAAGAATTAGGCAAATAGAAGCTTGAAGCTCCTCCTACATGTAGTCTGGGAGAAGAACCTCTGGTGGGCATTTTTCAAATCTTTTGTGGCACTCACTACTTACTGTAACCCCCAAGAGATCCCTAGCTGCTTGGATTTACTACCTTGGAATAGGGAAACAAGCAGTCCAGAGGTATCATTTAGCTCTTCATCAAATTAGCCCTCACCTCACTGGACAGGGACCCATTATTAAAATAGACACTGTGTATATATACATACATAGACACATGCACATTCACAGTATATATACTAAGACTGAGAAAGTAAACATTAGTCCTACTCTGATATATTTGGTCTGTGATCCCACTTAATTACTTGACCTCCAGAGATTTGCAGCCTGACTGTAATAGTTTGGAACTTCAGGTATTATGTCAATTCAGAACCAAGGTAGGACGACTCCAAGGCTTGGGTGTTTTCTTCAGAACAGATGATGATGACCTGGCAGATGACTGCAGGTCTCTTATACTAATCTCAGGAAATAAATTTAAGAGACTGGTAGAGATTTGGTCTCCCACTCCTCAGAGGCTTTGTTCTGGGACTGTGAACTGGATTAGGCCTATGAATTGGGTAAGATAATTCCTACTTACTGCACTTTGAGTCAAGTTTCAGCACAGTAATCCTAGACTTTTCCTGTTCGTTGAGCAACACCATCATAAAATGCCTGCTTATGTCTTTCTTCAGCACACAGTGATCAGTGAGCTATTACTAGTTCTGTGATCAAAACACTGCTTATGTGGATACCTGCCTATAATCCTTACACTCGAGAGGTTGAGGTGGGAAGATCACTTGCACCTACAAGATTTAGACCAGTCTGAGGAAAATAGAGACCTCGTCTCAAAAAAAAATAGTGGTACATACCTGTAATCCCAGTGCTCTGGAGGCTGAGGCAGAAGGATTGAGAGTTTGATGTGAGTCTGGGCTACATAGGGAGACACTGACTCTAGAAGACAAGGAAAACAAAGCACAACTAAAAATTAAACCACTCAGGTTTACACAGTCTGCTTCTAAGCTTATGTTGATGGTTGTGTCTGCTCATCTGAATTTTGAACATGTTTCTGGGCACAGGGAAAAATTCTAGAGTGGAAAGATTATAATCAAAGGAGAGGGTATAAACTAAGACACGATTTCTGATCAAAGATTTCTGATAGTGTAGAGATGTCCTACAGAGGATCAGTGGAAGGATTGTTCTTGGGAGGAAGAGGAACATGTAACAATAGGGCAAGAAAATTAGTAGCTGGAAATGAGTTATTGTTAAGGTTGTAGGGTGAACAGTGAAGAAAAGCCCCAGATATAGCAGGATGAAGTGTGGTGAGAAACTGAAACAGGGTAGTTCCATGTGACTGAAGAGAAGGCTGCCAGGATAAGCATGGTGGACTTTGAAATGTTTGGTGTTGCTATCAGAGCAGTGGTGAGGTGTCTGAGATTAGGATTTTGATTGTTTGAGGATCGGAGGAACTGTAGGGATTTGAGAAAGAACTAGAAGGCAGTGTTATCAGGAGGGTCTCTTGTCTCTGCCTCCTGAAGGGTTACAGGCATGTATTCCATGCACAGTAGGATTGTACAGTTACTAAGTGGTGTATCTGAGGTTTGAATATAGGGTGCTTACTGCCTGAATATATGCACTGAACTGAGATTTTTCCTCCTGGCTTTTGTAGTGTCCACCAAATAAGATCTGAGCAATGGCCTAGAAGTAGCAGCAAGAACACCTGTTTTCCTCTGCCCTAGTTTGTAGTAAATGAGAACGTAAGGAGACATTTCATTTAAATATAGTAAGTAAAGAGGGTTTTCAGAAAAGATTAAAAGACCCAGAATAGTTAGCTGGGAAGTGATGGAGAAAAGCCAAATAAAGGCTTAAGAATGTAAGAGGTTAGATAGCCTATGGGCTTGCAGCTGTTTGTGGCTAAAGACCTGGGTGAGAGGCTTGTGGAACTTAATGGGTCTGAATGTTGCATGCAGGTTAGGGCCATGTTTATCTGGGATCTGTCTTCTGAAATAAACTGCCTTCTTCCCTGTTGTATGTTAGCCTTAGTTTAGAAAACCAGATGCTGTTTTTAATACCCCCATCAAGTCTTTCCATAACCTTTTATAATCCACCTGTTTTCTTTTTTAATTTATATTTTATTTATTATTTTTATTTTTTGTGTATGAGTATATTGCTTGCATGTGTGTAAGTACACCTGTGTTATGCAATGCCCATGGAGGTCAGAGGAGAGCGTCGAATACCCCTGGAACTGTTGTTACAGATGGTTGTTAGTTGCCATGTGGGTGCTGGGAATCGAACCCAGGTCCTCTGCAAGAGCAGTGGGTGCTCTTAACCACTGAGTCATCTTTCCAGCCCCACCTTTTTTCTTTTCTTTCTGGTTTTCAAGATGGGCTTAGTATGTAGCTCAGGCCGACACCAAACCCACCGTCCTTTTGCCTCAGCCCCTAAGGCCAGGAGTTTGATAACTGTCAGATTCACTTTTGACATTGCCTTGGTTCAACTTGATGTTTTCAGCTAATCTAAGTTCATTTATTTAGAGTGGCCATTGGGTGCTTGCTAGGGTAATTTAAGAGAATTTGGGGCCTCGTGCTACACTTGCTCACATTTTGAACCCCTCCCCCTTCCCTTTTCCCCCAGCACAGGATCTTGCTGTATAGCCCTGGCTGGCCTGGAACTTGTTAGATGGGCCAGACTAGCTTCAAACTTCTGGCCATCCTGCCTCTGCTTCCTAAGTGCCAAATGCTGGGACTGTAAGCATGTGCCACCACAGACAGTTTTGTTTATACCTTTACGTATAAAATTTTCCTCCACAGTATTCTGGCCTTTTCTCTTTCTGTGCTGCTATGCTGTGGACCCATGCTGATGATCTGATTTAAGGATGTATTCTTATTTGGGGACTGGGGAGAATAGTAACTATAGAATTGAGGTTTTTGAGTACTTGGGTTAAAGGTTATACAAAAAAAAAATAATTCTTCAACATTATTTAAAGTTCTTGTACCCAGAGCATTATAGAATAGTGAGAGTCAGCTGGGATCATTTAAGTATTTCTGGATCTCATTTCTCCACTGAATGATAGTATTTTCTTAACTATTAACTTACATGTAAAAAGTTAGCACTCTTTTTGGAATACTTTCTAGTACTACTTACCTCTTAGAGGCTCTCTGTAAAAAGTTTCCAGGAGTACTTCTTTATCAGAGCTGGTATTAGGTTATTAGAGAGCTCATAAGAAAGTGTCTGCTATGCTATTATGGTGCCTGGCATTTAGTGGTACATCTAGTCCTCTATGCTGACTGAATTGCATTGTGATATTCCTGTTGCAACCTCTGAAATTTTCATTCTCACTATATAGCACCTGAAAATCTAGTATTTCATGCCCTCCCATATTTCATGTTCAAGCATAACAGTTTCACCCAAGAATACTCCCATCTGTCTTTACCATTTGATTTGATTGACACAAGATGCTGATAAGAGTCAGTGTATTTAGCTGTCATTTTTATATTCTTTAGATGGATTCCATAGCTCTCGAGTAACATAATAAAAATGCACACTCACCCACACATGTGCACACATGGGCACAAGCAGCTTTGGGCCTGCTTGGCAGGAGACCGTCCAGCATTCTGAAGTATCTGTGCCTGCTTAAGTTTCGTCTGGCACACTGGCTGCTTCACATGTTGTTTCTCTCTTGTGAGCAGAGACGCCAACTTGTTTGCTTTGCCAGTTTGATTTTTTGGCACTGGCTTTTTATGCTCTCATGTTCCTTTATATCAGTCTGGCTGTGATTCTGCCACTTTCTTTTTCCTCTTGCTTATTTGGGTCACAGTCTGCCTAGAAATTCTTGTCTTTGAGAGTAGTGAGTCTTCACTTTTCTTCCAGTAGTTGGCTTAATTTTTACTGATAGCGCAGCTGAAACACCAGCATGGAAAAGTGTAGATAATTCATACTCATTCAGTCACTACTAGCACAATTAAAGCTTGAAATTAAGATGCTTGCTGAATACTCACATGTATGTAGCTACTTGGGATTTTAGTTCTAGAGCATAGAATATTTGTAAGTACTGATTAAGAAAATGTGTGTAAAACATAAATGTAATGTAGTTATTCTGTTTTTACAGGGATTTGTGGAGCTGACTATATTTCCTACAGTTACAAACCTGAATAGAATCAAGTTGAACAGTAAACAGTGTAGAATATACCGAGTAAGGATCAATGACTTAGAGGCTGCTTTTATTTATAATGATCCAACCTTAGAAGTTTGTCACAATGAATCCAAACAGTAAGTTATACACTTCAAGAAGTCAGCATTTCTAACAGTCATCTTTTGTTGTTTTTAATGATTGTGTTGAATTTTCTCAAATTTTTTCTTACTATACTGGATCCATATATTTTGTAATTTCTGTACTTTACTGCTTTCTCCACATTTTGCTTAAGTGATTTTGCCACCTCTGTCTAGAATAGTAAGTTATTAAACTTTCCTTCTTAATACTACAGTTTTAAAGATGTATCTGGGAATTTTAAATGAATTTATTATTAGTACATTGTCTTAGCCATGTGTCTGTTTTAATTTTTTTAAGTATTAAGTAATATTAAAAATTACTTCAATGGATTAGATGGTCACCATAAACTTTAGACCAGAGACAATTTAAAGTATTCAATAAAATGTTTTCACTATTTTGAAATATCTTATGAAGTATATCCAATGCTATTGCCTAAATTTGAAGGATTAAAAGCCAATTCTTGATATTTTGTAATATCATGCCAAACTTAATTATGAACTCTTTTGTTAGTCAAGATGGTATTTTAATTTACCTAGCATGTATACTCTTAAGGCAGCAGTTCTCTAAAGTGTGTTCCCAGACAAACCATATCAGCATCACTTAGGAACTTACTAGAACTGTAAATTCCTGAGTATTAGCCCAGACCTACTGAATGAAAGGTAGGATAGGGTCCCACAAGTTGTGCTTTGACAAACTATCCAGGTGTTTCTGGTAGAGACTGAAGCTTGAGAACCACTGCAGTAAGGGGCTGGGAGGCTTGAAAAGGGAGGCTTAGCTTTAGATAAAGCCCAATAACCACTGGTTTACAATCTTCCAAGTTCAGAAAGGAGACAGGAAAATGGTGTTGGAAAAATCCAGGGACCCTGTGTATTATTTCTATACACCCATTTCATGAAGGTGAGTTGTAAATGATATTACTTTTACACCCATGCTGTAGAACTGACATAAAAAGACTTACTGCAAAACCATCTGCATGTCTTATCCTGAAGAAGAAAAATAAAATCTGCCTATGGAGTAATGAGTATAGTGCTGCTAATAAATGAAAGATGTACCAGGATAAGATGGATTTTACTGTAGACTTATACATACAACTTTCAATTTTATTTTATTATTATTATTATTATTGATCTATTTAGAACAGGGTCTCCCTGTAGCCCCCATTGTCCTGAAACTCACTATGTAGACCAGCCTGGCCTTGAACTCATAGAGATCCACCTGCCTCTGCCTCTGCCTCCAGAGTGCTGGGATTAAAGGCATGCACCTCCACACCTGGCTCAATTTTATTTTTTGAAGATAAGAATTTACTCTGTAGACCATGCTAGCCTGGATTTATGGCAGTTCTGACTCTGCCTCCCAAATGGTGGAACTACAGGTATACACCATCATACCTACGTTAATTTTTAAAATTATTATTTTATCATTTTATTTTATGTGTATGAGTGTATTATCTACATGTGTGTAAGTGCACCTGTGTCCTGCAATGCCCAAGGAGGTCAGAAGAGGCATTGAATCCCCTGGGACTGAAATTACAGATGGTTGTTTAGCTGCCAAATGGGTGCTGGGAATTGAATCTGGATCCTCTACAAGAGCAGACAGTGCTCTTATCCACTGAGCCATCTCTCCAACCTATAGGTTAATTTTTTACGCATGTTAACATGCATCTGTAGTCCCAGCTGCTCAACTGAGACAGGAGGACTACTTGAACCCAGGAATATGGGGTTAGCCTTAGCAATGTAGAGAGACCCACATCTCAAAATAAGCAAAATAATCACATAGTAGAAATTAACTCCTGTATTAGTTCTTGGTAGATAATACCGTGAACAGTCTTATGTTTTAGCTTAGCTACAACTTAGCCTCAGCTGCTAGTGGTTTTAGTAGAATTGCTTGAAATTAAGTGGTTACAGAGCTTGAAGGACATTCCATTTTATTTGATGTAACTTCAACTGGAAGTTTCCCTATAGTTCACCTTCTGCTTGAATGCTGTCAGCTTTAGAAAGCTTAGTATATTTTAAAACACCATTTTCATTTTTTTGTTGATATATTTTTATTCTTTGAACGTTTCATACATACATCCATACAGTATATTTTGATTATAGTCAGCCTTCATCTCCCCACACCTCCAATTTCATGTCCTCTTTTTTAATACACCTGGTCCAGTGTCTGTTGCCCATATGCTTATGGGTATGGGACCCCTTAAACTAACTCCCACTTACCCAAACCATCAACTTCATTAGTCCCTCAGAAGTAGGGGCTGGTGAACCATTCCTCCTCCATGACAACAGGATACAGCAGTCCACAGACACTGGACTCCTTCCCTAGCTCTGGCTCCTGTGGTTCCCATGCTCTTTTGTAGTGGTCCCTGAGCCTTGTAGGGAGGAGGAAGATTTAGAGTTCCTATTTGTGTGGCCGAACCCTCAGTAAATTATCCTCTCTACTTTGACCACTTGTTAAAACACAGAAAGCTGTCTGTGGAACCTTATGCTTTATGATTGTTAAAGCAGTTACATTGCATCTGTAAAAGAATTTTACATTGTATCATTGCAACTGATAAAGAATAGATGGGGGAGGGAGAGAAATGGGATCTGTCAAGTTAAGGTTGTGTAACTTAAAAGTTTCTTTAATGACTTTTTATATTGAGTTTTTTACATTTATCTGTTTGTGTGTGTCCTTGCACACGTGTGTGTCGCAGTGAATACCTGGGGGTCAGGTGACAGCTTGTAGGAGTTGATTCTCCTACCATTTGGTCTCCAGAGACTGAACTCAGGTCTTCAGGCTTGGCAGCAGATGCTTTTACTCACTGAGCCATGTTGAGCCCTTTAGTGACGTTTTTCATTACATTTTTCCTCAAGCCATTCTATGGCATTTACGAAACGTATCTTTAACTGGTATAAAAGTTTACTAAGCTAGGGTTATATCCAAGATTTGTTCTGTCACCTTGTTTCCCTGCTTCCTCCATGCCTGTCCTGTCCCTCACTGCAGTGAAGAAATGTGATACATATACATCAGCAAGTAAGTTGTTGTTAAGGTTTGAAATTAGAAACTCAGTAGAGAACAGTGTTTTCTTTGTTTTGCAAAAATTTCTGTGCATTGTTTTCATAAGATGGGACATGAAGTCAAATTACTATTGAACAAATACTTTGACTGTCTCCTGACACAGTGAATGTAAGATAACCAGGCAACAATTCTTGTCTTTATTAAACTTAAATGGTCATGCGCTAGAGAATGGTAGTAAAAAGTCCTACAATTTGAGGAAATCTTGTTTGAAGGATGTGAACACAGTGAATCCATTGTATTCATGCTACAGTGGTTTTTAGCATGGTTAGACTAAAAACATTCTTAACATATTGTGAAGAAGATAGAATACACAGAAATAATTGAGATCTAAAGATATTTAAGAAAGATCTTGGGGCTGGAGAAATACCTCAGCAGTTAAGTGCAATGGCTGCTCTTGCAGAAGACCTGGTTTTGGTTCCCAGCAGTCATTAACTCCAAGTCATTAACTCCAATTGCAGGGGATCCGACACCCTCTTCTGACCTCCATAGGCCTGGTATGACACAGATAACCTTACATACCGGCCCAACACACATAAAAGAAAAATGAGTAAATCAAAAAATTAGGGGAGGAGCTGGAGAGATGACTCAGCAGTTAAGAGCACTGGCTGCTTTTCCAGAGGTCCCTAGTTCAGTCCCCAGCACCTATATGGCAGCTAACAACTGTCCTAACTCCAGTTCCAAGGGATTCGACACTCTCTTCTGATCTGTCCAGGCATTGCATAACACAGGTGAACCCACAAAAATGTAAGCAGAACACTCATACACATTAAAAAAAATAAAAAATTTTTAAAGAATAAAGATCTTGGTGAAATATGTAGTTTATTGTTATTACAAGTTGACTCTTTATCTCCCCAGGAGAAATCTCAATTATTTTTCTAATGCTTATGCAGCTGCAGTTAGTGCTGTGGATCCTGATGCAGGAAATGGAGAACTTTGCATCAAGGTTCCATCAGAGCTGTGGAAGCATGTTGACGGTAAAGCATCAAGAATTTATCACTCTACAATGAAATTATATTAGACTTAGAGGCCAGAAAATTAATGATGCCTAAATTGTAAATTAACCAATTTAAATGTGCAGAAGGGATTGGAAAATCTTTTCTACTTTAGGATCATGCTAATAGGAAAAAAAGTAACTGGCTTCACTGGGTGTTTGTTGGTTTGTTTGATGCAGGGTCTCACTATGCAGTCCTAGCTGGCCTGGAACTGACTGTATAGAGTGGGCTGACCTAGATCTTACAGAGATTCCTCTACCTCTGCCTTCTGAGTGCAGGGAAGGCATGCTTTGTTCTCTCTCATTAGGCAGTATAACCAGCTCCTTTCACTCTGGTTTGTTTTGTTTTTTAAATGAAAGATATTTTTAAAATCATACAGTTAGAACATGTGTCAAGGTTAAGAACCTATGAGGTATCAAATGAGTTTAGTACGTTTACAGCATTAAAGGTCCAAAGAATCAAATGGTTCAAGTCCTCTGTTTTACAGAAGAGTAATCTGAGGTCCTGTGAGACTGAGTTCATTGAGCTAATGAGTGGTACTGTACAAGCTAGAACACAGGGTTATTACTACACCTGTGCTGAGTTTATCTTTTCTAAATCTTCATTTATTTTATTTTTAAAACATTTTTTTCTTTTTTTTTTTTTTTAATAAAGATTGAACCATTATATTTAGTGTGGGAAAACTTCTTTATTTAGTTTTATAAAAGTCAAGGAAGATAAGAAGATAAAACACTTTGTTTTGGCTTTGTTTCCTACGTGTTGGGAAGCAGAGGAGAAAGGCGGGTGTTAATTTAGGACACAGTCGTAGACGTTCACGTTCCTCATTGCACATTCATGTGGTTGTATTAGTGGGAAATTAAAATGGATACTTTTGATCTAATGGTAGCAAGACTTGTTACACAGAAGTGAAATATAACTTTAAATATAATAGGCAATGCAAATTCTTGAGTACTGTCCCCCTACCTCCCTTCCTTTACTCTCCAGAGTCAAGTAGAGTCAGCAGTTTGGGAGAAGATATAAAAGGAGAATAAAACTTCAAAAGTAGGTTGGGAATTACATTTGAAAGGCCTTAAGTGTCCATGTAGGTGTTTTGAAACTCTTTTCTGAAAGCATTACGTGCTGCCAGAAATGTTGAGAATATGATCTGACGAGGTCTGTGTTTTGTGAAGAGCAGCAGGTAGCCATTAGAGTAACGGGAGGTGGGAGTGGTGTTGGTGGGCTGTGTGGTGTGTGAGTAGCCGCACTGTAGATGCCTGAACTATGGTGACTCTTTGGTGGTGTTTTGTGGTAGTGGTGTTTGAGCCCAGGCCTCCAGCATTCTAGGTAAGTGCTCTACCACTGTGGCTACATCCCAAGCAGTTCTGAATTTTTAATACAAAGCTCGGGCTTGGGTTTTCACTTTTGCATCTTTGTCTGTTATATAGAGGAGTGTAACCTATTTGTGTATCAGTGAATGTGTATGTTCATTTGTTGCAGAGTTAAAGGTCCTGAAGATACATATTAATTTTTCTTTGGATCAGCCAAAAGGAGGTCTTCATTTTGTGGTACCCAATGTAGAGGGGAGTATGGCAGAGAGAGGTGCACATGTCTTTTCTTGTGGGTATCAGAATTCCACAAGGTAGGATTTCAATGCATGTATTTCAGTTTATTTTACTTTTCAATTGTGTTTTTAATGTATGAATATGCAGTGCATTTATTTCACTTAAAGTGGCAAATATGAGCTTGCTTTTTATAAACTTACACTTGTAAATCATATTCTGTTCTTTATTTTTACTTTTAGGGAATAGATTTGAAGTAATCATCAACCTGAGTCTTTAATTTTATAGTGAAGTATAATACATATACAGAAAACTGCACAATTTTAAATGTTACAAGATGAATAACTCTTCCACAAGTGAACAGACCTATTGCAGTCACACTCAAGATCACCACAAGTAACATTTCCACTGTCACAGAGACAGCTCTACTTGCTTCCATTGAGCATTCCCACCAAGTATTGTTCTGTCCAGTTGCCATTTTCTAAATACCATCCATTAATTATGCTTAGTTGCACTTTTTATATCTAGCCTCTTAAAAGTGTTTGACAGTGAGATTTACCTACATTGTTGTATGGAATTACATTTTATTCATTCTCATAGCTCTATAGTTATTAAAATATTTTATGATATGGGTATTTAAGATTAACTCTTTTAAGCCAAAGACTATGTTTTAGAATTGCAGTTTTGCACCTTGACT